TTGACGATTTGCTGCCTCTATGCATTCTTATTTGTCAATTCATTTATCATGTATCCACCGTTCGTCAATTGTTGTCATGTATTTCTTTTCTTCGTTATGGACCTAGACTTGTTATGTTGAACTTTGTGATGGACGCCGACTTGTGGTGTTGTTCACGTGTTGGACTTCATGTGATGGTTGTAATGCACTTGTGTGGTTGTTATTGTGACATATATGTGAGATATATGTGATGTTGTGCGTTATTGTGATATATGTGGTGATGTTGGCGACAAATGTGATGAAATTGTGATATAAATGGTGCTACTAATTATTCGTGAAATTGGATTATAATTTGTGATTTTGCAGGTTTTGATGCTTGAAAAGGAAAACAAAAGCAAAAAAAAAAATTCCAGCTTTTGCCATTGCTATAATCGTGGTAAAAAACCTGTGATGAGTCTTTGCCGATCGCAATGGGAGGCGATCGAGAAGAGGTCAAACCTTTGCCGATCGCAACTCCAAGCGATCGGCAAAGAACATTTCAAAAAAATATTTTCTTTCTTTGCCGATTGCTATAAAATTTGGCGGCAATTCAAACAATTTTTTTAAAAAATTTTTGATCCGCCGAGAACTCTTGAATAAATCAAAGCTCTACTTACATCGACGGCGCCACGTTATATGCTTATTAGTCTATCGTTAATTTTGCCAAAGGCTTTTTTTAATGTTTAAGACACGTCATTTTTAAGAATCCGCTTTTTGCCGACCTAAATTTTGCCGACCGCTTATTGCCGATAATGCCATTGAAACTTTTGCGGTCGCTAAAGCCTTTTGCCGAATCTGGTTTATGCCTTACAGGGCAAGCTACTGGCAATTACCTCCTCCTAGTGTTACCTCCTGCTGATGCACAACATATATATTTACTTTAAATTTGTCTTTTTATATATTAGTGGTAATTAAACTGGGTCATCCAGGAACATACAAAAGGTCTAGCTAATGTTTTACTTTATTGTTTATAAAGTCAGAAGTTGTAATTTATACGCAAACTTAAGTGTTAACTTGGACTATCTGTCTTAATGTCTGAGTGGACAAATTAGACCTAAATAAATTTAGGTGCTATTTTAGATTAGTTTTATAATAGCGTAAGTTGTTATAATTCAAATCCTGCTGGATCGATAGACAAAGAGATGTGCTGGCGCTCGGACGTTCGATGGAATATTTTGTCGGACGGCCGTTTCCCACGCGCGCATGCATAACACTTGCCCCCCCCCCGGTCCGCTAATTCGCCCTACCTACATGTGCATTACGCCGTCATCACGTCGCACGACTCGCTCGCAATCCGCCTCGTCCGCCTTGATTCGACCCGCCTCGCAGGCGCACCCTGCCCCATCGTGCCCCCAACCTTCGGCCCCTAGATCGTCGTGCGCGCCACGTCCACCGACCACCGGCTCACGGCACCCCATTCTTTGGCGCCCGTGCCATACCACCATCACTCCCCGCCCCCGAGTCTCCGAACAGGATGAAACACGTGCAACATGAAACACTTGAATGCGACATACGTCTGAAACAGATGAAACATCTAGAAAATATAGTTGCAACATATGTGTGAAAACATATGCAACATCCAGATAGAACACTTACAACTTACAGCATGAAAACACTTGCTGCAACGGAAGACTGAAACAGGTGAAATATTTGGAACATACGGTTGCAACATATGTGTGAAACATATACAACATTCAAATCAAAATGCTTGCACCACACGTTTGGAACAGATAAACCATTTTGAACAAACTATTGCAACATGTCTCTGAAACACTTGCAACATATGCAACATCCCCCGATCTACTTTTGCAGCATCCATATGAAACAACTATAACATACCTCTGAAACATCTGAAACACTTAAAACATATATTTACAACATAGGGAGGGGAGCACCATGCCGGTCAATTCCGGGTGTCGGGGTGAGAGCTGACGACGAGTGGCGGCACATGAGCACCACTAGCATCTAGCACCAGCGGCGCGCGTGAGCACCACAGCCACCAGCGCCACCAACGCCGACCTTGGGTCGTCAAGCAGGCGATGAAGGAGCGACGAGCACGGCGGCAGCAGCGAGCACCAGGGAGCGGCCGCACTGCTGCACGGAGGAGGGAGCAAAGGCGGCGTGGCGACGAAAGCAAGCGGCGGCGGGATGGGCGCGTGGCAGCAACGAGGGGAGTGCGTGTCTGCGTCCAGGACGGGCAGCCGCAAGGCGTTGCGACAAGGGAGGAGGAAGCGGAAGCAATAAGGAAGAGTGTTTTTTAATAAACTCGTTGGTAGAGCGAACAACGGGATAAAATCGTAAGCAACGAGGCGGTGGGCCTTTAGGAGCGTCCGTCGATTTACTCGTGTTGGACGTGAGACACGTAGCATTACCGATGAACAAATGTTTCTGTTTGTATAGTGGTGAAGATTAACACGGAGACTCCACCGAGATAACCGTAACATAATCCAAACGGGCCCTCCCTCTGTCGTGTCGAAATGGCCATACCGGCGGAGCCTATACCTTCTACCGGCCCTTTTGTGCCATACTGTGCCACGCCTTGCCTCTTCTCCTGGGTCCTGGCTCAGCTCAATCACGCAATGCGACGCACGCACGCAGTTTGGTCCGTGCAGGTGGACAGGCCGGCCACCGTGTCAGTGGCCGCACACTGCTTTCCCAAAAGAGATGCATCCAGCTACCGTTTCCCGGCTCTCCGGCTCCAGGGCCCGGCTGGGGTGGGCCGACACCGAGCCCCGGGCGAGACGGGATGGATCGACGCGACGCGACGCCATGTCGCGATCGATGCGGTTCCGGATCTACCACCCACGCGAGATCGGTCCAGCCGTAGCCAAAACCCAAAAGTGCTTCCAGTACCTCAGTTCTCACCTACCTACCCTGCCAGTCTGACTGCCGCTGCCAAGGGCCGGGCCAGCTTAGGAACGTTCTGATAGGAGGCGTCGTTTTGTCATGCCTGGCGTGCAAAATCTGCTCTCCTCCTCGTTGAGAAGCACAGGAATTCAAAGAACGCCAGGTACGTTGCATCGCATCAATGATAATTGATGGTCCAAGAACTCAATTAGTAAGATGTTTTGGAACGGTCCATGGGCCAGCCACTGCTTTCACCGTCAGGCCGTCACCACAACTAATGTAGCCACCACGGCCTGTCGTGTCTGCTCCTCCAGATACTTACTTTAATTTGGTTGCAGTAGCAGCAGTAGTACTCATTAACCTCAACAAAGAAAAGCTCACAACCATCCAACCAGGTGTCGCCATCGTCCAACCAAGTTTGCCGCCAGTTTTCCACCTTGTTCGGTGCATCCGGTCCTGCTAGTCGATTCAAGACGTACGATGATGTTTTTCAAACCCCCTGAATTGTTTTAACACGTCTTCAAAATCCTAAAACACATTGTAATTAGTACCATGCAAGACAGCTTAGCCGTCTCTTCATGCTGTATGTAGAGCAAGTGTACGGTAACAAACTGAGACCATGTTTCGATTTGGATTGCAGAAAAGTTTTCCTATTTATACTTTTTTTTTTTCACATAACTAAACTTTTTTGTGAAAAGGAAGGTGGGTTATTCAAAATTCGGCATAGTACCCCCAAAGTACACACGAAAAAGAAAATTTGGAAAAAAAATAACATTCTCTTTTCTAGATTATTCCATTGCCTTCTTCCTTGAAGGCTTTTCTCAATGTAGTTGATGCTCTAGATGAATAGAGCTTTGTTGAACACCGGAGCTAAACTATAACCCTTGTGATGAATCCAACGATCAAAAACATTAGACAATGCCACAAGATTCAACGTTTTGAGCCTGTCCAAAAACGCACCTGAATCCATGAAAGAACGTCATCAGTTGAACCATCGAGTATAACATAGGATGAAATCGACGCCTGCAACGGTGTCCTCATCGTGGTAATTATTGAAATCATCACAGGTAACATGATTCTGATATGAAATCATCTGATTTTGCCGATAAATTTGTTTGAATTAAATCTAAATGAACTAGCGGTCTGTTTGCTTGAGCTTATAAGCCAGAATTAGCTAGCCAGAAAATAGTATTTTCTCTTACAACAAATCAGCCATACAAATTAGCCGGAGCCAAAATAAGTTCTGCCAAACAGACCCTAGATCTGAAGAATTATTGTAAATGAGAGATGAGTCGTCTTTCATTGCTACTAACCGCTGACCGAGAGAGCCCCTCGTGTAAAATACTCCATCCATTCTAAATTATAAGACGTTTTGACTTTCTTTTTAGATGAATAAATAAAAAAATTAAAACGACTTATAATTCGGAACGTAGACAGTAATTTTTACTCCGTTGCACCTTGGAAGCTGGCCCGGAATCCTACGTACACGGGAAGATTTTCATTTCAGGGCGTGTTTAGTTCCACCCAAAATCTAAAATTTTTTGTGCAGTATTCATCACATCGAATCTTACGGTACATGCATGGAGTACTAAATGTAGACGAAAAAAAAACTAATTACACAGTTGGGTGAGAAATCGTGAGACGAAACTTTCAAACCTAATTAGTCCATAATTAGATATTAATTGTCAAATACAAACGAAAGTGATATAGTACGAAAAACCAAAAATTTTTGCAAACTAAACAGGCCCTCAGTAACACTGATTAGATGAGTACTGTACGCTACAGAAACCAGCACGGGAATCCCACTGCATCTACCTGGAGATTCACTGGACCCTTTCGTCGAGCGGGGCCCAGGCGATGAGAGATGACACGTCATCGTTGTCCTTTGCCCACTCACTCTGTCACCCTCTCCTTCCTCTGTCCTGTTCCAGCGCACCCACTGGCCACCACTATATATAGGCAAAGCAAAAACCAAAGCAGCAATCCAAACCCAACACAATCACTTGGGCGCAGCCGCAGCCGCAGCCGGCGCCCTCCAGAGTCCAGAGCACGAGCGATCGGCCCGCCCGTGAGAGGAGAGGAGAAGGGAGGGATCGAGCTCTTGGCTGCCTCGACCCACTGCTGCGGGGCAGTCAATGGCGATGCCGAGGGCGCCGGGCGCGGGATCGCTCCGCTTCCTCGGCCTCCTGAAGCTGCCGGAGTCGGCGGGGGCGGGGCCCGACGCCGCCGCGCCGTTCGAGCTCGACGAGCGCGACGTGGTGTGGCCAGCGGGCGGGGGGCAGCAGGACGGTTGGGCCGCCCCGCCGGCGCCGGCGCCGAGCGCGGCGAGGCGGCGCGCGCACGCCGTGCCGCACAGCTTCGGGCTCTCGTCCCTGCTCGCCGAAGGCGGCGGCGGAGGGGTGGCCGTGCCCGTGCTCGCGAGGGCGGTGGCGCCGGCCGCTGCGCCGAGGCAGTCAGCGCCAGTGCGGGTGCCGGCGCCGTGGCTGGGGAAGGCGGCGGGCGGGCGCCGCGCGGGGGAGAACGGCGGCGGCGGCGGCGCAGGCGGCGCAGGCGGCAGGAGGGTCGACGAGGACGAGGAGGACGGAGACGAGATGGTGCCGCCGCACGTGGTCGCGGCGCGGCGCCACGCGCGGTCGTCGTCCGTGCTGGAGGGCGCCGGGCGCACGCTCAAGGGCCGCGACCTCCGCCGCGTCCGCAACGCCGTGCTCCGGCATACCGGGTTCCTGGACCTCTGAACGAGCGAGCAAGCAACGGAGCCAGGACCAGCCGTCAGCCGTGACAGAAGAAGCCGATCGAGGCCCGATGGATCAGCAGATCAGAGATCTCTTTCTCGAGCCCCCTGCCATTTCAGCCGCCAGCTGGCTCTCTCTCTCTCTCTCTCGTCGCCAGTGTAACAAAACCCCAAACCTTCCTTGCTCCATGCATGTTCCTCAACACCTGAAGAGCTGAATTCACTACATTCAATTTGATTGGTCTGGTTGAGATCCCTGCTCTTCTTCTATTGCGCACAAAGCCTCCGAGTTTCTTCACCTGAATTCAGCACATTCACCTGATGGCTAACAATTGATACGAAATTGGTCCCTCCTAAAAAAAATACGGAATGGACGAGGTCACGAGGAAGATGATGCAAAGAAGAAAAAAATACAGGGCGCCCACACAACAATCGCAATCGCAATCGCAATCGAGTGGATGGTCTACTCTACTACTACCAAGTTGGGCTCATCTGGCACTAAACAAACCATGGCTTTGACACGGACGGGAGGGGCAATATAATACGATGCGAAGCCTGAAGCCAGGCTGCCCCTAGTACCTGCATCAAGCATCCTAGGAGTAGAATATAGCAGCATCTTGCGGCGCTGGCCGCTGGGTGGCTGTTTCGCAATCACACCAGCATGACGCGGCGTAGTTCGTTCCCATTCGCCCAACTAACCCGCCATTGTTTTCCTTCTTCGGATCTGACAGGGGTAATCAGAGGCGGCCATGGAAGAAGAACGTGTGTGTCGCTGTCTTCAACAAGAAACCTACCTATGGGTATCCGAACCTAAAATAGATAGCAAGAGATTAAAATCAGCCTCCAATAGAGTATTTATACGAGAGACCTATTTTGGGTTGCCTAAGAGCATCTCCAATGGTTTGCCAAATTGCACTTGCCAAATCTTGGGTTTTGGCAAGTGGCTAAAACAAATGGCAAGTGAAATAATCTTGTATCTCCAATGATTTGGCATTTGGGCTTGGTAAAATAGAAAAGGAGGCCCACATCCTTCAACCGTTCAACTGTCGCGAGGCTCGGCCTGGACCGCGCCCGTGTCTCTTCATATGCTCGGTGCCGAGATCTCGTGGCCGTCGTGTCGTCAGCTTCATCGCGGGCGATCTCCATCTCATTGCCGCCATCCCACGCCTGGTCTCCATCTCCCGGACGTGGTGCCGCGCCGTGGTCTCCATCTCCGCCGCCGTCGTGCAAGCCGATCTTTGATTCCGCTAATCTCCATCGTGACGCAGTCAAGAAATCTCGCTCCCGAGTGCTCCAAGTTGGTTCGTAGCATCTCGCTCCCAAAGATCTCGTTCAAGTTATTTGTTCCCAGCCTCCTCCGTGATTTGTTCAGTATCATGAATATGCCTAGATGAATACATTGAGTTTGATTTTTCAAAAATTACATTGAGTTTGTTCAGGCTGCTGTCTACATGTTCAGATTCCAATCAATATGTTCAGGTTATTGTTTTTGATTTTTTTTCAGATGTTAGCGTATGAAAAAAAATGTAGCCAAAAAATAATATTGCATCAACGAATTATGGAGAGTTTTAGTTATGATTTGTTTATTGCAAAGAACCTAGTTCTTATTTTCAGTTATTGTGAATTGGGGTTTTGATTTAGGATATATTTGTCGCTCGAATCATGTCTAGGAAGAGATCCCTTCTTCGACGCATAATTGGATGATTCATCATCCGATGATGAGGATTGTTTGATATTAGGACTGCTGCAATTGTTGATACTTTTGCCAATGAAAAAACACGGTGGCTCTGTCCTAGGTCGTAGAATGATTTACCGTGATGTAAAAAGGCGCCATGAGAGGATGTTTCAAGATTATTTGGCAAGAATCCAACATATATGGCCTCCGAATTATTCCGTCAAGGTTGGTGTTCTTTCACCCGGATTGACTTGTTATCCAGTTTAAATATTACCGAGTTTGTAAAATTTATTTTTTTCCGTGCACAGGATGTCTAGGGAGCTTTTCCTACGCATAATGAACGCCGCTGAAGCACAATGATGATTACTTTGTGCGAAAAGGGACGCAGCAAATGTACTTGGGTTGAGTTGCTTCCAAAAATCACTGCTCAATGCGCGATGATCACCTATGGGGTTCCTGGCCGATGCCACGATGAGTACATTCGCATTGGCGAAAGCATCGATTTGAGAGCCTACGGAGGTTTGTTGTTGCAAAGGATGAAATCTTTGGAGAACAATATCTCGGATATCCCATCGAGGCGGACACAACACGCTTACTTGCAATCGGTGAGCAAAAGGTTTTCCGGCATGTTAGGTTCTATCGATTGTATGCATTGGGCTTGGAAGAACTGGCGTATGATAAGCGATGGCGGTCGAGATAAGGGGCATGTGGAGCAGCCCACCATCATTTTGGAGGCGGTTGCTTGAACGACCTTTGGATATGGCATGCCTTCTTTGGAATGCCCGCTCATAATGACATCAATGTTCGCCGGTCACCTTTGTTTGATAACTTGGCGGGCGGTAGAGCTCCACAAGTTAACTATTCCATTAACGCCATGATTACACAATGGGCTACTACCTAGCTGATGGCATATACCCCACATGGGCTACTTTAGTCAAGTCGATCGGCTTCCTCAAGGGAACAAGAGGCAATATTTTGCCAAAGCGCAAGAAGCGCCTAGGAAAATGGTCGAAAGAGCTTTTGGGGTTCTTCAAGCTAGGTTTGCGTTCGAGGTCCCATTCACATTTGGGACAAAGATACAATATCTCGATTATGAGAGCTTGTGTGATCATGCATAACATGATTGTGGAAGATGAAGGATTCGTGGTGGAATTCTAACGAAGCGTTTTGATTATGGTGGAAATAATGTTGAACCGGCTCATGGACGAGCTACTCGAACACTTGATGAATACATTGATCGACGGAAGATCGAGGAAACACATGATCACCGAAAGAGAGACCTCATCGAGCACTTGTGGAACCATCATCCAGGGCTTCTCCTTTTGCATATCCAAGGCTTTCTTCTCCTCCATCATCTTTCCCAAAGCCTCCATGCAAGCCTCGCCACCTCCACGCCTCAATTTTTCTTTTGCCTTTTTTATTCCTTTCCGACCTTTTCCTTGGTTCCGAGACTCGTAATCAACTTGTATGACATGATCCTCACTATTGACTTCATCATCTCTCGCCTTGACACCTTTACCGGCTTCGCTTCTTCTTGTTGGCTTGCTTCTCTTTCTCAATCTCGCCAGATCTTCGCTTTCTGGTCTTCTCCCTTCAATATGGTGTAGCAATGTAGAAGGCCAAATGATTTGTTGTCCTTGTCCCATTCAATATACAACTTCTTTGCTTCGTTAATCAGAAGAAATTGTCGATGTATATGCCACAAATAATCACAACTAAAATAAAACACCACATGATTTTGTACCTTGTCTTCAATAGTGAACCCACTTTGATTCCTTCATTGCTTCATAGCATGCACAAAACTTGTTTACTTGGTCTCAATTGTCACCACCTATGCATGATGGAACTCTCGGTCCTCACACAAATTGTACTTTTCTTGTGCTTCTCAAAAAAGCATGAACTCTACCCCAAAAAGATGAACGAGATTGATTGGCACCAACAATGGGATCTTTGCTTACATTCACCAAATGAGCATATAATTTCATCCTCCTTCCAATGAAAATTTTTGGTCCTCTTCGTTCCCTTTGTATTCTTGATAGCTTGCACTTGGTCTTGAGTGTCTTGAGTGAGTCCAATGCTCAACTCGTCCAAACCAAAGAATGGTACCATCTCCTCCATTGAGAAGAATGTCCTCAAGAAACTTGCATCTCCTCCTTGCATCTCCATAACTCTACAAAACATACAATAAAAAAATTATAAACAACTGATGGCTTCCTCAATTAAAAAATTATAAACAACAATTGGTCCTGAGATAATAATAAACACCTACTGTTTCATGGCAACGAATGATTGGCTACGAGCTTTGTTATTTGTTCATGATTCAAACAAAATAATAAAAGGACAGAGGCTCTACAAATTGACAAAAACAACAAAGAATTGAACATAATGATGGATAGCAAACTGAACAACAACTTTTGTCGCAATTAAAAAAAAAATTATAAACAACAGCTTGCATATTACAACTTTTCATGGCAATGAATGATTGGCTACAACTATTCATCGCTCGAACAACAGAGATATCGGATGGACAAGTACATGCACAAAAGAACACTAGTCTTTGATTACGATAGCAAATGGACATGGATACATGCACAATATGACAAATAAAGGAGCGGATCCATCTAGCGATACATGCACAAGACGATTAACATATACCTTCATCAATCCATCCTAACTCTACAACTACCGCCTTTCATCAAGATCGCTACCCTCATCGCTACTCATCCTTGGCCCAGAACATACCTTCACGCACGGAGGGACGGAGGCCACGCTGGGTGGCGATGGACGGAGGTCACACCGGAGGATGACGCGCGCGTAGTTCGTTCCCATTCGCGCATTTACTGAAAGAGGATATGACCACGCCATTGGGACCTTTCTTCTTCGATCTCATCGGCGAGGAGAGACCGAATCAGCGCGGCGATTTATATGAAGAAGCGATAATTGAGACGTCGGGAAGGAGTTTGAATTTTCCGAGGTCACCTATAAGAAGCGGCGCGGGCTTCCTCGATGGCAAGTCGAGGATCTACAAGTAAATTTGCGCGAAGTCTCACCCCTGGATAGCAACTCCTCATAATTTGGCAAGTGTTTTAGCAAACCACTGGAGAAACAAATTTGTAGTTTTTGCCAAATAACCAAGGATAGCAAGTGCAAATGGCAAACCATTGGAGATGCTCTAAGAGGCACAACCCAAATATAGACATCCTCTCTTCTAAAAACCTATTTGTAAAAATGATTCTCTTTTAAGTCTTGTTGTTGAAAAAGATGCCGAATATGTATTGAATATTTTACCTATAGCGCTACCAAAAATGAATAGATCTTATATTTTAGAT